ATTCGGTTGGTTCTTCTAGATTTCCACATTGTCCGAACACTCCATGTACCTATGAAAATTGTTGCTCTGATTGTTAGAAGGGGCACTGGTCTCGTGACTTCCGAAGAATATCGGTTTTCACAATGAGGCGTTACAATTCTTCTGAATGATGATCCTCCGACTCAGAGGTCAAAGTTTGAATGGTTTAAATTGTTTATTCTGGTTAGTGTTTTTTGAAAGGTTTTTTTCTACGGGATAGGGTTGCTGACCCCATGTCCAACTCTTCTCCTTTATCTGAGCTTTAGACTGTCAGTAACCCTAGAAAAGCTTGTATCCTGTAATATGTGACATATTTTAGTGAATGAGAACATCAGTGCGGGCAATTGAATGTATTCGAATACAAAATTACGGAGTCTCTTAGTAATATCTGAGAGCTATACAGTGAATACTTCATTTAAAAAAGGTCAGTCAATTGTCTCAGATTTTACTGTTCCTTCATTTCCACATCAACTTTCTGCCTTCAGTCATTCTACATTCGATTGGTGATATATACTACTTCTATCTGTCGACATCAGTAGCACATATCACGACATGACCTCTATATAAATTTTTTGACTGAGATCATGAACCGATTAGTGTTAGACCACCATTAAAAACCTGAAAGCACTGGATGACCATTTTGTACTATTGTGGGACTCCTCAGCATTGTGCGCATCCATCAACCTGCTCACAGGATTCCAACCCAGGGCCTTTAGTTTCGTGCGCGAACGCTTAACCTGTAGACCCCCCAATCTTCCAGCATCCAACGGTGTTAATGTCTAAACTCAATCAATCCACGAAATTGCACGACCATCTTCGATTGTACTAAGGTAGATACCTGTCTCTACCCGACACGGATTAGCTCCACTGTTCATGGGTTCTTACTAGAACTCCGAGAATTCCCTCATGAAGCTAGTCACTAGTGAGCTGAGGAATCCTATAATAGGACGAAACAACCATCCAGTAAAAACGAAATCATCATTATATAGTCAGCCAATCCGCATACAGGAAGTTTTAACATTTATCCAATAGGGAAAATACAAGTAGAGATTTTGGGATATTCTTCCAAAAGATGATTGGATGGAATATCTTCAACGCTTTCTGAACTTATTAGAGCTTATTCAAGTTCACATGTAGATTGTCCTCACATCGGTGTTAAGTAATTATGAATGAAGAATTACTTATTGAATGATTTCCATTAGAAAATCTATTACTTCAATATCATAATATTGTTCTATATTCAATAAATGAGTCGCTATATGTATATCAGTATAGAAAGTATAGAATGTTTTCAGGACAATTAACCTAAAAGATTAGGTGTGGTAATCATTATGTATATATATCATGTGTGTTATTGTATTCTTTGTTGAATATGAATGTATAATGTAAGAAATGATTGATTTTCTTATTCTTGTTCTTCTTCTTTAAAGAATGACACCAATGAAAATTGTATTGATTTATTAAGAAAAGAGATATGTATATCGTCAATCAATAATCAAATGGAAATACTCATGATTAAGAAAAAAAAAACAAAACAGACAAACAAACAAGTATTATAAGCGAAGATAGATAGTGATTAGTAATAGTAAGCAAGTGGTTATCAGAACTTAGTAACTAAATAGATAATGTGATGGTGTTTGAAGAGAACAACAAGAGCGGCCTGCTTGAGCATCTGAGCTACCTGTTCCTGTCATCTAGATATTTTAACAAGTTATCTATTTTTGTTTATTTTAATATATGTCATTATGTCTATTCATCGCATAACCTATCCTGGTGCATTTCTGAAAAGTGTACAACCTTTCGTTGTCAAAGTTACAAAAAACTCAATAAGAGCCAATGTGGTTGCTGGCAATATACAGCGAAAAGAATGTACATTATTCAGATGTTCATTTAGTTAACTGCTAACATCTAACTGGCGATCATTCGGTATTTATCGCCAGAACCGACTAAGAAGAAAGAAACGGAAACTTGTTGAAATACTATACGCTGAGAATTCTATATTGTACCAAAAATATAATATTGAATAAAGCTGATGATAATAATAATAATAACATTATCGGATTCGAACCCCCAAATGCCCTGGTATGGCTGAGATTGGTGAGAGTTAACTCTCTCTCGCTCCAAATGCTCTCACATGGACACGTGTATATAGCCTCCGACAGGGAAGTTTTACTCACTGCCTTCTCACACCAGGAGTGTTCTTTACGCAATTGAGAGGACGAAAAGCCAATCTCTGGCGCTTTAACTGGGTTAGTGGACATGGAGAGTCCACCTAGGGGAGTTGGAAAATCCTGATTCCAAACCAATGGTGCACATGGGCTGGTTCCAGTATCCTGAGGGAACAAATGGCGTATGAACCAATCGTTCGTCACCGGCTTCCATGGGACTGCATCTCCGTACGATGCTCCACTGCCTTGTGGATCAGACCTTTAGGTTGAAGGCTCCGTGTGTGGCCTACTAAGGAAACCACCTAACTCGGTTTGCGCACCTGGGCAGTATATCACAGCCCTCACACAAATCAAATGAGATTTGTGTGTCGCATATGTATTTGGTGCCTCCTTTTACCAATACCTATGTGTTAAAATAAATACATAAACTAGAGTGAGCATTAACTATGAGGTGTAGGTATATGTAGCTAATGAGTTGTAAATAGGACTATGTGATGCACGTCCTGGATTCCACTGCTATCCACTATCCATCTTTGTTTAAAAACCTTGTGAATTAAGGCAATTTCGAGTCAATACATACAGGATGCACATATGCCAACATGAGACTGATCAATTGCAGTTATAAATAACAATGGGAAGACAAAAGTAAGACGACAGTAAGTGAATTTAAGCTTCACCCCATTACACAAGTCCCACAGTGAACATCAACTCTAGGATGCAGGTACGTCCAGCTGACGAGTCCCAAATAAGACGAGACGAGCGTCCTGAATCTAATTGCTAGCCACTATCCATCTTTGCTTACAAAGATATTGGTTGTTATCTCGAATCGTTTTAGTTTCTGGTATATGTAAAAATATGAAATCTTACCCGTAGGGAAATATAGTAGGTATACAATAAATTATACTAGACAGTTTATTACTATTTACTATATGGTCATTATCAGTCAATTGTGATAGAATGGAACTGTGTTTTATTTTGATCATACCCTTTCCTAAATATTAAAGGAACTGTCCACTAACTCATTGGGTCAGTTGTCTGATTGTACATCCTATTTCGCTTTCAATGTAAAGGCAGGTGAATTTGTAGATCTACATGGATGTGGCAGAACTGGAAAACGTAGCATTAAGTAGAAGGACCTCCACAGGTCAGCTAGAAAGTCCATTAAATGTCCTCTTCACCCACTTAGTCTATTTCGTAGTAAGTCAATAACTTTATCTACGTTGAATTTTAGCTTCACGATGAGAGGTTTCTTACAACACGTCTATGTAATTACTTTCCTGTTCACTGTATACCAGTGTTTCTTCAGAAAACCTTGTGAGTAACCCATTAAAATCAACAAATTATACTTATTCATAGTATCATTTGAGCATATTTTTCTAGTTCTACTTGAAAGGCATCTACTTAGATTTCTCATGTAATAAATAGAGGTTTGTTTTCTACATTTGTAAGGACAAGTTAATTAGAATAGCACCTAGAGGTGAAGCCATCAATTTGTCTGTCATTTTTTATTGAAGATCTGGTTTCTAAGTAGTCAATTATCTCAGTTAACGGTATATTGGTAGACAAGGAAGCATCACCTAGAAATATCATCTACTTTTCATTAAAAATCTTATGTTACACCTCGCAGATGAAGTTGAGGACATCTATGACGCTTTTGTCAACGACTACTTCACATGGGGGATCTAGGGTTCTAACTGGCCACTTTGCAGTTCTGTGGTATGGAGAGTTATGCATACCTAAAAATCCACAAAGAGGAAGTCCTGACGTGTGGGTTTTGAGTAAACCATAGAATCGTGATGTGTCTGATCTCATAGGGTTGAAGTGAATCATGAATAGTTGGAGTAATTATCTTCCTGTTTCCATTTTTTTTCTTGAGTCAATTCATCAGTAGTTACCGTTTTCATATTCATACTAAAATATCGTTGAGTTTTTGAAATTTAGTCAGATGATTCAAAACGAGAAACGAATAATATCTGTAGATGTTGATGCCTTGTTTATTAGAATTTGTGCAATTTTAAACAAAATTGTCAGACGTCCAGCATCGAAGCTTACATTTAACACTGTATTCTTACATACTATCACTAAACAAATGATTTGAAAGGATGTTAATTTCTCAGCGGTCTAGAGGTTAGGCTTTCGCGCACGAGACTGAAGGCCCTGGTTTCTAGTCCCTTTGGTACGCACCGCTGACGAAGCCCACAATGGGACGAAACGATCGTCTAGCGCTTTCAGGTTTTCAATGGTAATCTAACATCAATCGGTTCCTGATTTCAATCAATAACTTAATAATCTCCACGAACCTATATTGATAATTACCATGTGCTCACTAGTGACTAGCTTCGTAAGAAAATTCTCGGAGTTCTGGTGAGAAACCATGACCAGTGGAGCTAATCCGTGTCGGGTAGAAACAGGTATCTACCTTAGTACAATCGAAGATGGTCACGCAATTTTGTGAATTGATTGAGTTTAGACATTAACACCGTTGGATGCTGGAAGGTTCAGGGATCTAGAGGTTAAGCGTTCGAGCGCGAAAGTGAAGACCATGGGTTCGAATCCTGTGGGCAGAATCATGGATGCGCACAATGCTGAGGAGTCCCACAATAGGATGAAATGGTCATCCAGTGCTTCCAAATTTTCAATAGTGGTCTAGCCTTCAATTGACTATTGAAATTACTACAATCTACACAAAAACCCCTTCTGATAAACTTCATCTTCTTTTATTGCATTATCGAAATAAAGTCTTCTAGAAACTTACCTACCCTCTAACTCTCTCTCTCTCTCTAACTCTTCAAACTTGAAAGGAACACAATCTCATTTACTCATCAAACCCATATATATTTCATCACACACATAACCTACATATACATATAATGAAATGAGAATATCTTTAAGGGAGACTGTTTGTTGTTACTGTTTTCGACATTAAACAGAGATATGCAAAGATCAGATTATTATTATTATGATGATTATGTAATAATGAAATAAAAGCTAATTCATCCATATAGACGAATATACATAAAATAGAATTACCCAAGAGTAAGTAAATCCGTCACAATATTTAAAGCATATTGTTTTCTTTTGTTTGTTTGTTTGTGTGTATGTGTGTGCGAATGATTACAGTAAGCAATTCATATGTTGCGGTAGAAAAAACTAACAAAGAAAAAGAGGAGGAGGATAAACAAGCAGGGGGGGGGGAGTAACACAACACCGGAGAACATATTTATATATATATCCATTGAAACCTTTATAAATAGAAAAGAAGAAAAAAAGAAAAGAAAACAGAGACATGACAAGCCCAAGAAGAAAAAAAGAAGAGGAAGCAAAGAAGAGAGAAAACAACAACTATATAAATGAATTAAGTATAATACTGAACATTTTCTCATATAGAAACAATAACCTCGAAAATTAAAATGGAATAAAGTTTGTATTAATTTATAGAATAAAAACAATCAACTCATAAATAAACACAGTGAAATAGTCACCATGGATACTAACCAATAGATGAAGAAGATAAGGTTAAGTAGAGTGTTTCTTTAAATTTTTTCTCTCTTTTTTCTCTTAATTAAAATGGTCCTTTAATAAATAAAAAATAGAACAGAATAAAATGAGAAGAACCGAAATTCTCTCACTTTTTCACATGGCAGTACATATGAAGGTTACTGTTAGTTAAGGAAAGGAAAAAAAAGTAGAAAACAACATGTGAGAGATATGGACGGATACATACGCACACACACATACGAACATACGTACGGTGTTTATGGTCTTGGTGTAAAAACTGGGACGTCTCTTCAAAAAATAAAACAACCCCTACCCCCCCCCCGCACACACGCACAATTAAAAGGAATGACAAATAATCCAACTATCATTATGATGACAATAAATATGGTTGTTTTACAAGTAGGATAGGTCAAAGTAAATAAGAGAAGAACAAGAAAGATTAGACGTTACTGTGTGTGTGTGTGTGCATGTGTTCAATGAAAATACAGATCCTATATTCATGAATATACACAACACATAGAACCATTTTCCTTTGAGTTAGTAATACTTTTGTTGTTGTTGTTGTTGTTCCCACTTGAGATGATCAATTAAAAAAAATGAAAGAATGTATAATTGTGTTTTCTTTATCATTTAAAGAAGTTTACGATGTAGAACACGTGCACCTTCACTGTCATATTCTCTTTTAGATATCCACATACGTTTAAATGTATCTAATGATGCTAGAATAGAACCACCAATCCATGTAGAATATAAACGTTCTTGTGGTGCAGATATTCGTAAATGTGCATCTTTTGGAGCTAAACGTTTTAATTCTAAAACAAGACGATCACCAAAACCTAAATAAAGTAAATATAAAGAAAATAATGAGAATGTCATCACTTTAATGATTATTAATCATTGAAATAACTCCACCTGGAGCCCCTCTAGGGTTATAATGCCGGTCTCGAGCCCGGATAAAGGAAGAGGGTTGGACATGGGGTTGAAGACCCCATTCCGTAAAAAACTAACTCGCTAAAAAAACGCTAACCAGAAAAAACTCATTGAAATGTAAAACTGTAGTTGGTAGTAGTTAGTGTCCATGAAGTCATTGAACTAGATCATGTGTTAATAAGTGTAGACTACCTTGTTTTAAGTCTGTATGATTATTGCAACTAGTGGTTAGAGACTCTAAATGAAATGACTCAAAATCATTTGCAATAGCTCAGGTACATTTATTCTCAGTCTTCCTTCAAATTCTAAACCTTTGAATGCCCCCAAATGCCCTGGTACGGCCGAGAGTAGGGAGAGTCAACTCTCCCTCTCCAAATGCTCTCACATGGACACGTGTATATAGCCTCCGACAGGGAAGTTCTACTCACTGACTTCTCACACCACGGGTGTTGTTTACGAAATTGAAACTCCGCCGCTTTAACCGGGTTGGTGGACACCGAGACTCTACCTAGGGGAGTTGGAAAATCCTGATTCCAAACCAAAATCACACATGGGCTCCAGTATCCTGAAGGAACACATAGCATATGAACCAATCGTTGGTTACCGGCTACCATGAGATTACATTTCCTTACGATGCTCCACTGTCTTGTAGATCAGACCTTCAGGTCAAAGGCTTCGGGAGTGGCCTCCTAAGGAAACCACCTGGTTGGGTTTGGGCACCTGGGCAGTATTACAGCCCTCACACAAATCAAATGAGATTTGTGTGTCGCATATGTATTTGGTGCCTCCTTGTACCAATATCTATATGTTCAAATAAATAAAACCTTTGAACTCCTCATAATTTCTTTTAGTTCACTAATTTATATTTTCTTGAATTGCATCTTTGATGGTTAATTTTTCCCTATCACCAGTCATATTGTTACAATCTCTACTATTCTGAGATCTGACCTGACAACGTTATCTCGCTGTGCTAATCGGGTATGACAACTTGAACCGATGTACATACTTACCAGGGCCCATGTTGTGACTAACTGACTGAATGAGAAATGATGGTGCTGAAAACACTTGACTTCAAACCATCAGGTTATTTATTCCAGTATCAGATTGGAGAGGACGTTTGAAAAAGATAAAATCTTTAAAACTATTATTGAATAATTGGGTTGTGACCCTTTTATATTGTCCCAGAAACAAGCGTTCATCATTTAGCTTATTAACTATCGATATATGTTTTATTGTGTTCAATAATGATCGTTTATTGATTATGAACCTCTATTATTCAGTTTTTTATCAGTTACTTTGTCTACAAATTGAGATTTTCCGATCGTTTTTATAATTGATTGAGATCAGGAACCGATTGATGTTAGACTACCATTGAAAACCTGGAAGCACTAGACGGCCGTTTTGTCTTATTGTGCGACTCCTCAGCAGTGAGCATCTACGATCCTGCACCAAAGGGACTCGAACCCAGGGCCCTCAGTCTCGCACGTGAACACTTAACCTCTAGACCACTGAGTCGATATCCAATGAAGTTAATGTCTAACCTCGACTAATTCGCGAAATTGTGCGACCATCTTCTAACATCAATCGGTTCATGATCTCAATCGAAAATTTAATAATCTCCATACCCCTATACTGACGTTTTTATTATTGGCTGAAGAGGTTATCAGTCTGAGAGGAGCATGGGAAAACTTGTAATTAGTGTAATTTTTATTTAGTCGATTGACGCGATTAAGTGGATATATGTTGGACTGAAGTTCATAACAAGTTTGAATTAAGTTCAAGTGGTTGAGTAAGAATTTATCAGTTCTCATACATGTTGTAACTCAAACCTGAGCACATACACCAACCTGTGTTTCGTAAATGAATTTTATTTTAAAAGTGCATTCCGTTCATCGTAAATCGACCTATCAGATAACAATTAAAACGTTTAATCAAAAGCAACGTAGAACCTGAAACATACATGAATCAGTCTAAGTTACCGCACCAAATCAGCACCACTGAGATCAGTATCCAAGTGGTAGTGTCAGTGATAGTACATAAATTAAGTAGAATTAATTTGCGAAATAAAGGGGATGAAATAATCTTAAAACTCAAGATCTAAGGGGAGACAAGAAAATGAACGCTTCTGAGTTATATCCCTCAAAGGCTCCTCCAAATACTGGTCACAAGAATCACGTAGAATCCAACTAGATAGGCTGGACCTACTTACATGGTTAAGACCAACAGTTAATGACTTTATAGACTGATGCCACATATTTAGGATTGACCGCTCCTATCTTTCTTTTAACCTACTCCTGAATAAGTATTACTCGGTCAACGAGGTACTGGCTAGGCATCAGTAACACATATCCTAACCATCTCAATGAGTGAAGATTTGCTACATCAGAGAAAGATTTGGCATTTATGACAAGTACCATATACCTATACCTTAACATTGCTCACTCGGTCATTCCATAAAATGCGAGCAATATATCAAAGACATCGATGATTAAAAGCCTTCGGCGTACGCATATCATCTACTATCATAGACCATGTTCTACAAACATAAAGAAGAACAGAGTGGACTGCTGCGCAATATACAAATTTGTAGCTAACTAATCATTCATAAATTTAAAACAATTAGTCCCTTTGATAAATTACGATAATGCAATAAAGAAGACGTAGTTTATCAGAATTATGTGATATATTTGAGCAATACATTTCGAACAATCTGATCACACATCATCTACTTGTTAAGAACATTTATACATGAAAAATTAAAAGGTCAACTAGACAGGTTAAGGGTAAGTCATAACAAAGGAGAAATAATAAAGTACACAAAAACAAATGTGATTACCACTTTGGATAGTAAATCAGTACTACCAGGGTAGGTTAAGTGTAAGCACTGATTTCCTTTGTTATGACGTACCCGTAACCAGTCTAGTTGACCTTTTAATTTTCATATATAAATGTTCTTAACAAGTATATAATGTGTGATCAGATTGTTCGAAATGTATTGCTCAAATATATCATCATATAATTCTGATAAACTTCATCTTCTCATTGCATTATCGAAAGTAATCATTCATAACAAATACAAATTAGATGATACTGGCAAAGTTTAGAAGTTAGACATTAACACCGTTGGATGCCGGCTCAGTGGTCTAGTGGTTAAGTGCTCGCGCGCGAAGCCAGTAGGTCCTGGGTTCGAGCCCCGCGTGGTGCGGGATCGTGGATGCGCACTGCTGAGGAGTCCCATACCAGGACGAAACGGCCGTCCAGTGCTTCCAGGTTTTCAATGGTGGTCTAGCTTCAACTGACTCATGATTTCAACCTGTGAAATTTAGAAAAAAACTTAAAATATGATAGTGCAGCTAGTCAGTTTCATCAAATGGTGTCAACCACCAACCGTCTTACGACTCCGTTAATGAGTCAACAATATTTAGGCGAGACACATCCACGTCTTAAGCTTATAAGGATTAAATATGATGAAACACATCCTGGATACACCTGGTTAGAGTATTGTATAGTTATACATTTCCTCTACCTGGATTTCAAACACATGTTTTATGTGAAGCCTAGCGGTACTATTCTGGGCTCGAACTTTCAACTAGATAGTTGCAAATCTTCTGATACTGAATAAAATGCATCAAACTAAGTTCTTCTTTCGTGAAGAATATTCAAACTAAATATGTTGGAATTTAGTGTTACATAAAATATTAAGAGTAATGCCTGTTCTATACGTGGTATAAAACATGGAAAACTTACTCACCTTTGAAAAGCGTCGAACCGCCTGACAGTACAATATTTTCATATAACATACGTCTTAAATCCATATCGGATTTTTGAATGGCATAAGCTAATACCTGAAAGCAGAACATTACAGATTTATACATGTGCACATTGTTACATTCATACAATGTTTCCAATAGATAAACAATCTTATTGAGATCATGAATTGGTTTGGATCAGACCACCATTGAGAACCCGGAGGGCCATCTCGTCCTAGTCTTGGACTCTTCAGGGGTGGGTACCCTGAGCGCGGGAATCAAACCCAGGACTTTCGGTCTCACGAGAGAACACTTAACTTCTAGATGCTAGACATTAACACCGTTGGATGCCAATCCAGTGGTCAAGATTTCTCACGCGAGACCGAAAGTTTTGAGTCCTATTCCCTTCGGTGGAATGTCGTAGATATGCACTGCCGAAGGATACCATACTGAGACAAAACAGCTGTCTAGTGCCTCCACGTTTTCAATGCCGGTCCAACTTAGATCGTTGCATGAGTTCAGTGAAGTTCAACAGTCTCTACGCCTCCTTACTGACATTTAAACAACCAATAATACTACTAATGAAATGAAACGATGTTCAGCTGAATAGTTTGTGCAACGAAGGTTGAAGATTTGAAAAAGCTAACAAAACTTGGTCATAAAGTATAAAGGTTTCTAATAACAATTGCTGTATGAGACATAGAGATTCTATCTGATTTTATGAACGGAATCAATATTCAAACTCATAACTTATAGATTGATTACAAAGGGAACACAACAATTTCGTTTTTTTCGTTCGATAGATATTGTGATGTCAATCGATAACTTGAGTGTGTGCAAATCAAGAGTTAAGGTATAGAGAATAGTTGTTTGGGTGTTTAAAGAGAACGAATAACGGAGGATATTCTTGACCAGTTTTTCCTTATTGATGGCTATTGCTAATGTGTTTTTGAAGTCCTCCCTCTGAAACCTAAGCATGGTTTTAGATAGATCATATTATAATCAATCATTGATGAGATAAATAGGAACAGAACTACGGCTCTTTTTAAAATACCTATTGAAATGTCGACCAAGCTTTGGAATGCTACATTTCCATGGTCAGTAAATGAATGTAAGTGAATTATTTAGCACTTAATTTGCTGAAAAGAGTAAATGAACATCGGTTACATTAGCAAGAAGTCATGAAAGTAGAAAGTGAAGTTTCATGTGGCTTAATGAAAGCATCCAGTTCATAATCATTATAGATCTGTTGGCTTGAGAAAATATTTTCGAACTTTAAGTAAATGGACAATGTTTTACTACACTTCAATAATATACACACCAGCTAAACCGTACGTTCGGTTATTAAAACGCAAATTAGTTTTATATGACTGACTGAAAGATGTACCTGCATCTACCATAAGGGATAAATCTTTGAAGGTAGTCTTGAAGTTTATATATTTGTGTAAATGCTATGGCAGATAAGATAATTCTACGTATTGTGAAAGTCATAGTTACCATCATCTTGGAGTTAGTGTAGTTGTAAAAGTACAATACATTAGTGAGAGCAGTTTTGTTACTAATTCATCAAATGTGACTACTTGGAGCACAGAGTATGAGAAGAGTTTCTGTGTTAGATAATAGTTGTTTGACAATGAGTACTCATGTTTAATAATGCTACTGTATAGGGAATTCCAAAATCTAAGAACATGTATTTGAGCATAGTAATGATGATATTTTTATAAATGGAAGGCAGTTTACACATGTAATTCCAGAAGTTTTCATACTCCACGTTATTAGCGAAACTATAATTTACGAATGATTTATTATTTATTTATTTTAACACATAAAAATCAGTACAATGAGGCACCAAATACATATGCGCCACACAAATCCCATTCGATGTGTGAGGGCTGTGATACTGCCCGGGTGCCCAAACCAAAGCAGGTGGTTTTCTTAGGGAGCCACTCCTCGAGCCTTCGACCTGAACGTCTGATCCACAAGGCAGCGGAGCATCGTAAGGAGATGAAGTCCCATGGAAGCCAGTGACCAAAGATTGGTTCATAGGCCATTTGTTCCCGCAGGATACTGGAGCCCATGTGCACCATTACGAATGAACCAATCAAATTTAGGATAACAGATCTTGGATTTTTGTCGTCAAATTCATTCATCCATTTGGCTAAATAGCGTCATGGCATTTTAACTGATGTTGGTTCGTGATGAAAAGCCTAAATCTAATTCTTAACTCTAACCATCAATTGTAAATCATAATCCTTATTCTTCACACAGGTTTATAACTCCCATTTAGCCCTAGTTATTAGGTGGATATTCTCAGAGTCACTTTAACGTTGCTCAAAGGTCCTCCGTAAATTATAGTCTCACCAAAATCCGTTTTGATTGTATTTAAGCTGCTTTTTTATTTAAAAAAATGTATACTATTTATGGTGATTTAAATGAAATACCATCATCCAGAAGATACAAGTGTTTATTAACAGCTGTCTACGCAAAATACTTCGGATTCGTTGGCCGGACACTATCAGCAACAACCTAATGTAGGAGAAAACAAATCAGATCCCAACGGAGGAAGAAATTAGGAAGAAGCGCTGGAAGTGGATAGGACACACATTGAGGAAAGCCGTCATCACTCGAAATCCTCAAGGCCCACGGAAAAGAGGAAGACCAAAGAACACATTACACCGAGTAATGGAGATAGATATGAGAGAAATGAACAAAATCTGGACAGAACTGGAAGGGAAGGCCCAAGACAGAGTGGGTTGGAGAATGCTGGTCTGCGGCCTGTGCTCCATTGGGAGTAACAGACGTAAGTAAGTATGATTTTCTTGTCGGAGTGTATCTCTTGGTAACCTGTTGTAGCACCGTTTTGATTGTATTGTAGTGGAAAAGATGACAATTAATTTGTAGTTCTGTACACGGCTTCAACTAACAGTTAATGACCTTTGTTATGAAGTGTGGTATCCGAGATCTGATACTGATACACAATGTCATATGTATTAACCTCCCCACCCGATTAACTACTGAGCAAGAAGACAAGAATGGAGGGAAAAGTCTTTTGGGGTACCAAATTATATATATGTATATATATATTTCTACTCCTTAGAAATTTATTTATTTATTTATTTATTTGAACACATAAATATTGGTACAAGAGAGCGCCAATATATATGCGCCACACAAAACAATGGGAATTCGAAGAGAAGTAGAAAGAAAAAAAAAAAACTAAGGAACGCAAAAGAAAAAGAGAGTAATGACGAAGAGGTACAATCAGAAGAAATCTTTCAGGTAAAGGAGACACAACCACTTTTTATGAAGAAAGTAAAAGAAGGTTACAGCAGGATCGCCACTGGCTTCTATTCTGAGCCATATCTGATAACGTCTCTAGCCACTGTGTTGCACCATCTCTCGGACCCCAACCAGGGAGTCGTGAAGGACCAACACAAGCCAGTCCTTTGCAGCTTTCTTTCATGCCACGACACCATGTCATGCACTGACCACCTCTCCGCTTCTTCCAACCAGTCCCAGAGTCGGCAAATAATGCACGACGTGGAATTCTCTGGGACGACATTCGGAGAACATGTCCAAGCCACCGAAGTCGGTGTTTCAAGATGGTGACACCAATTGAGTTATCATCTCTGTGCCCGAACACACGATGCCGAACCTCTGCATCACTGACATGGTGTTGCCACTGAATGTCAGCAATTCTTCGGAGACAGCGATGATCGAACACAGAGAGTCGTCTAACGTCCTCAACTCGGAGAGGCCAGGTTTCACAAGCATAGAGCAAAACTGCTCTCACCGACGCGTTGTAGATCCGGCCTTTTACAGCCAGACTAACATCACGAAGGCGCCAAAGGTGGCCCAGATTGGCATAAGCCGCTCTGGCTTTCACTATTCGTGCATTGATCTCATCACTCACACCCCCACCAGCACTTATGCAGCTACCCAGATACACGAACTTCTCAACTACGTCTATCTGCTCACCATCCAGGGTGAGTACAGGATTACAATCGTGCCAGTCTTGTAGAAGTACTTTGCACTTCGAAGGTGCAAAGCACATCATCATCATTCATCACAAATGATGAACTCCTTAGAAAATCAATCCATTTCTCAGCTAATGGAATTTATTTGTTATTTAGCAAAATTAACTTTTACATTCAGCTACTTCTAATTGGCTCACTATATCAACTTTCTGAATGGAGACATCATTCAAATTGTTCGTAACACATAACCTAGATTTTACATCATAGAAGGTATTGAACCATACATACCGATAAAAGTATATACAATCAATCAATGGATCTTAGTACTGAAATTATTCGCTTAATGATTACATCATATCCATGATGGAATGTTAAAGTGGTACACAAAGGTATCTGATATTTTCATTTCTTTTTTTTAAAAACAATCATGGATTATATGATAGGAGAGGAGTATTGAATTGAATATTTTGATTTTTGATAAGTTTACCAATGTGAATTAATTGTGTATTGTACTTCTTTTTGGTAATGATAGACTGTTGTAGAGATTATTGAATATTAAGTTACATATCACTAATTGACTTAGGCTGGAATAGCCATTAATAATCAACACGAAGCCTTGGGCGATTGTTTCATTTTAGTATAGAACTTCTTTGCAACAACAGTAAATAACTCTTGATTTTATTATAGATATCTACATTAAACTATTTGTGTCTTTTGGATTCCTTTCATTTTGAATGGCTTGTTGGGGATGTTAGATCCTCAGAACTCATTTGGTAAATGTCTCATTTTTGCGATAAAAGCGCCCATTTTTACCCTCAGTTTGTATTTCCAACTTGGAAGGATTGTAGTGCCAGTTATTATATTAAGCCCATATACCTTACTCTAGCTTTTGGACATCCCATTCTATTCATTTTACTTGAGCCATACTTTGGCCTTGTTATTTATTCGCTTATCAATCTAGACTGTTTTTATATGAGCGTATATATGTGTGCCCTTCTTATCCCATTAATCACATGTCTGTAGCTTATTTTGTCTGACTATAAATATTGAGTAACACTTGACAAAGATGGAGTTGGCTTCCCAGCCATCTTCCATACGTGTCATTATGCTTTACTGTTTCATTCGCTTCATATACAAAATATATGTATTCACAAGTCAATTCTCGTTATTCGACTTATTTAATTCCGTTATTGGCTAACGCGATTTGAGTCGACTATTATATACGAGAATAGGCGACAACAACCATTCGTAGGATCTTGGAGTCAGATAAACGGGCCACTAAAGGATCTTAAATATTATTGGTTTGTTTGTTCTTCTTTTACTACACTATCTTGTGATGCTTTTTCAAGAATACTGTAGTACTGTATATATATATATATATATATATATATATATATATATATATATATATATATATATATATATATATATATATATATATATATATATGCATTAGTTGTGTACTTGTTTGTTTGTGCTTCCAACTGTTCGTGGAATATACATTTCCCTTGGCTGAATCTGATCTCCTTTTAGTTAGCAAAGCTGGGGAGCATTGGGAGAGTCTAACTTGTCCTATTGTGTTGCTGACTATTCCATCCGTTCACCGGTTTAGATGATATCGTCATCTCTTAGAACGTAACATGGTTACACATTTCCACTGTTTTAAATTAATAATACTCATACAAATTATAAGGGTAAGAAACATGAAATGCTTATAAAGAGTTAACTAAACGGATACTACCATTAATGGTGTAAAAAGTATAAAACAATAGAAAAAATTAATTATAAATCAAATTTACTTGATGAATACCAAAATATTCTTGACCCATTAAATCAGGTCGAAATAATAATTCTGGTGCACGAAAACGTGCTGGACCAATTTCTAATGTAGAACCATCTGGTAATGGATATGAAGCTAATGCTTCCATTGCTTCAACTTTACTTGGATTTAAACTGATAAAACATGCACGTTCCTAATTATTATCAAAAATTAAGAAAAGAAAAGTGAAGAGAGAATTAAATAAATTATGAAGATGTACATGTTAGTATTCTTGACTATGAGTTACATTTGATGTATCTTTCCTTACTCCAAACCGAAGTAAATACAGACCGACTTGAATGTATGACTCACTGGTTGGAAATTAAAAGATTTAACTACTGTGAGATAGTAACTCACTGAAGACAATAATGGATATGTCGCTCAATTTCGAGCGCAAGACTGATAGGTCCTCAGTTTGAATCTTGCGAGGCTGGATCGTGGATGTGAACTGCTGAGGAGTTCTATACTATGACGAAACGGTCATCCAGTGCTTCCAGGTTTTCCATGGTGGTCTAGCTTCAATTGACTCATGATCTCAACTATTGAAATTACTATAATATCCACAAAAACCTTTTCTGATACTTAGTTATGGTTATAAAGAAATAGTTTAGTTAAGGAGTATTTCTTTAATGTAAATTTATTCAAACCCTTTTTTAAAATACTTCATGTCACTAACTTAAATCAACTAGGAAGAATCAATCAGACTTAGGAATTCCTGTTATCGTCTTAGACTAGGTCTGTTCATAACACTGAATATGATTATAAGCAAAGATGGATAGTGGCTAGCAGTGCAATCCAGGACGCGCGTCACTTCGTCCTATTTGGGACTCGTCACAGCTGGATGTACCTGCATCTCAGAGTTGATGTTCACTCCATGACTCGAACCTAGTACCGTTCGCTTCAAACGCCACCTTGTTATTCACTTAGCTACTGAGTTCAGATAGCCACTTGCTTGTGAAATGAGGTGAAGTTTAAATTCACTTGATATTGTTTGTTTGAATCTTCTCATCGGTGTTCATGACTGCAATCAATCAGTCTCTTATTGACATATGTACATCCTAAGTGGATTGCCATAAGTATGCAGTTAAATTCGGCTGACAAGTCTAAAATAGAACGAAGGCAATCCTCACAAGATGCACATGTGCCAATAAGAGACTGATCGATCGCAATCCTAAACATCAATGGGAAGATTCAAACAAACAATACAAAATGAACTGAACATGGTGTTTATATCTTCTAGTGGATTGATATAACCTAAATAAGTGAAGACCGGAAAAGAAAAACTTTATTCAGCCTTTTCTCTTATCAATAGTGGTAATCGTTGAATCATTTTTAACACTCACATATTATTCACCTAAACCATACACATACCTTATGGCTCCCAAATACCTTGGTACGGCCGAGAGTGGGGAGTCAGATCTCCTCAAATGCTCTCATATGGCCACGCGTATACAAACGATGTCAGGAAATTCCTACTCACTGCCTTCTCACACCACTGGTGTTGTTTACGAAATTGAAACTTCGGCGCTTTAACCGGGTTGGTGGACATAGAGAGCCCACCTAGAGGAGTTGAAAAAACCCTGATTTCAAACCAGCGGTGCACATGGGCTGGCTCCAGGATCCTGAGGGAACAAATTGCGTATTAACCTACTGCTAGTCACCGGCTACCATGGGACTGTATCTCCTGACGTTGCTCCACTGTCTTGTGGACGAGACCTCCAGGTCGAAGGCTCCGGATGTGCCGCCCTAAGAAAACCATCTGTTTCGGTTTGGGCACCCGGGCAGTATCACAGCCCTTACACAAATCTCGTCAGATTTGTGTGGTGCATATGTATCTGGTGCCCCCTTGTTCAAATAAAATAATAATAAATATGTAAATAATTCCATTCATTACTTTTTACTAATTCAGATGATTCATTGTAAAGTTTCATTGAAGTAAATTTTTTGTTAAAATATGCGTAGTTGTTTATTTGAATTATACATTCAATTTAATCAAAAATCCATATACTGATTTGATTGTTATACGAATGAATGTCATATAAATCCATTTATTATAAAGTATATACTAAGTCTCATTTCCTATAAACGATGTATTAAATTTGTTATGAACATCAATGTTGTTCAATTAATTCAATTACCATGGGGACTGCATCTGCTTACATTGTTCTACTGCCTTGTGGATTAGACCTTTAAGTTGAAGGTTCTGGATGTGACCCCATAAGAAAACCGCCTGTTTTCGTTTGGGCACCCAGGCAGTATCCCAGTCCTCATACAAATCAAGTGACTTAAGTGGCGCACATCTATTTGGTGTCTCCTTGTACCAATGTTTATGTGTTTAAATAAATAAATAATTCAATTACAAAATAGGATTACTTTAGGAAATATCTAACGTTAACTAGGGATCAATAATGATTTAAGTCACCTTATCAATAAATTATCCAGTATTCTATTGATATAAATTTTTTTCTTACATATAAAACGACATTTTAGCTGTCTTCATGCTCTGGTCCTTGAAATTAATCGCAGTATTTGCATATTCTGTAAAATATCATAATCATACACATTCGTTGTTGTCTATCATTTCTTCATGAAAGGATTTACTTACCTACGTCTGTTAACCCTCGTGGAGGAGCATAGGTCGCCCACCACCATTCTCCATCCAACTGTATTCTGGACAATCCTTTTCAGTTGTTTCCAGTTGCTATTCATCCATTTCCAATTCTTGATGCAGTGTGTTCTTTGATCTTCATCTTTTCCGTATGCCTTCAAAATTCTAAGTTATCACTTGCTTCGTGATGCAGTTTGATGATTTCCTCAATGTGTATCCTATCCACTTCTAACGTCTTTTCTTAATTTCCTCTTCAGTTGGAAGCTGGTTTATTCTCTCACATAGTGGACTGTCGGTAATAGTATCCGGTCAACAGACATCGAGTGTTTTGTGTAGACAAATGTTCATAAATACTTGTACATTTTTTGATTATAGTCGTGGTAGTTCTCGAAGTTTCAGCTCCTTACAGTAGAACTGTCTTGACGTTCACATTGAAGATTGTATCAGTTGTTTTGAGTTCCATATGTTCTTCAACTGTAGGAATGCCACCCTTACTTGCCAGTCTTTGCCTTCAAATCTGCATCAGACCCTCCCTGTTCACCGATGATATTGGCTAGATACATGAAAGTTTCCACGTCTTCCAGAGTTTCTCCATCAAGTGTGATTAACTTGGTGCTCTCCGTGCTGTATTTGATGATCTTGGTTTTTCCCTTACGCATATTGAGGACTACTGATGCAGAGATTGCTGTTACACTGGTTGTCTTAATCTGCATATGTTCGTGTGTATAATGCCCCCAAACGCCCTGGTATGGCCGACAGCGGGATGGGTTCACCCTCCCTCTCGAAATACTCACACGGCCGCGCGCATACAGCCTCTGACAGGGAAGTCCTACTCACTGCCTTCTCACACCACGGGTATTGTTTACGAAAATGAGAGGACGAAAAGCGAATGTCCGGCGCTTTAACCGGATTCCAAATCTATGGTGCACATGGGCACCAGTATCCTGCGGGAACGAATGGCGTATGAACCAATCGTTGGTCACCGGCTACCATGGGACTGCATCTCCTTACGATGCTCCACTGCCTTGTGGGTTAGACCTTTAGGTCAAGGGCTCGGGGTGTGGCCCCCTAAGATAATCACCTGCTTCGGTCTGGGCACCCGGGCAGTATCGCAGCCCACACGCAATTTATGAACTGAAATTGTGTGGCGCATATATATTTGGCGCACTCCTGTACCAATATATATGTGTTCAAATAAAATAAAAAAAAAATAAAATATATAATAGAAGAGCTGATTCATCTATCAAGTTCAAATTGTCTAGTTGCATCCGACCTGTCCATTGTATTCCAAGCTACCCTGAGTTGTGAAGATATTCATAATTCAGTCAACCATCAGAAATAAGGGAAAGGGAGAGAGTAAGCAGCCTCGTCCGACACCGGTCCTTCATGAAAGACAGCTTTGATTAATTATTAAAATTGTAAAACAGATCTCTCTATTGAACCATATACAACACTAATAAAATCACTTGAAAGAATAAGAAACTAATTTTCTACAGTTAAACCTCCGTTAATTTATTTACCTTTATTTGGCGAACAATTTCAAATTCTGATGTTGTATGAAAGTCAGCACCTTCTTTACGTAATAATAAACGTAAAAAACGTGTTACATCTCGACCAGCTAAATCTGTACGTTCAATAGCATGTGGAAGAGCATAACCTTCATAGATAGGTACAGCATGAGTTACACCATCACCCGAATCTAATACAACACCTGTAGTTCGTCCAGTGGAATATCTGATTTTTATGTTTTTAAAACGAGAAAAGAGATAAGTATCAGAAGGGGTTTTGCAGAGATTGTAGTAATTTCATTAGGTGAGATCAAGAGTCAATTCAAGCTAGACCACCATGGAAAACATGGAAGCACTGAATGGCCGTTTCGTCCTATTGTGGGACTCCTCGGCAGTGCGCATGCACGACCCCGCCTCTCGGGATTCGAACCCAGGATCTATCGGTCTCGCATGTGAGCGCTTAACCACTAGACCACTGAACTTGCCGGCATCCAACGGTGTTAATGTCTAACTTCAACTAGTTGAAGTGACTCATGATCTCAACTATTGAAAAAAAGATAAGTTAATCTATGCCTCACCTCTATAAATCATAAAGAATTTAATTAATTTTAACAGGTAATTAGTCATGTATTTATTACAGACGAATAGTCGATAAAAACCTGGGTATGCCAAATAGATACTTATTTTGTTAATAGTTTTAGGCGTGGTGGTATTTAGGGTAGCATATTAACTTGGCTACTGAGTTGAATTGATAAACATATTCAGTAATAATCAAGGGATAGCAAGGACTCTTCCACTTACAATAGTATTGAAACTGACTGAAGCAGTGAAATCCCATTTTATCTACATAATTGAACAATTTAATAAGCGGATTTTTATTTAATTACCGAGTTGGATTGGTCGATCACACTTTGGGCACACAAAGTACCAAGTCAACACTTAATACTGGAGTCATGGCTTAGACTTAGCGATTGAAGTACTTGACTTTCAACCAATAAATCTCAAGTCTAAATTGTGTTACTTTATCCATCTCAGTTTAAGCGGTCAGGTAGTATCACTAGTTCTTAGACCTAGAGTGTGGTTCCAAACTGAGTATGTATTCACCCCCAAGTGCCCTGGTATGGTCGAGGGTGGGGAGAGTCAGCTCTCACATACTCACGGGTATACAGCCACTGTTGGGGAAGTCCCACTTACTGCCTTCTCGCGTCGATTACCAGATTTAGAGGATGAAAAGCGAGTGTCTGGCTCTTTAACCGGGAGTTGGAGAGCCGTGATTACAAACCGATGGTACACATGGGCTTCAAAGTCTTGGAGGGGGACAGATGGCGTATGGACCTATTGTTGGCCACCGGCTACCATGGGATTGCATCTCCTTACGATGCTCCACTGCCTTGTGGATTAGACCTTTAGGTCAAAGGTCCGAAAAGTGACCCCCTAATGAAACCACCTGCTTCGATCTGGGCAACCAAGCAGTATCACACCCCACACACAAACCAAGTGACTTATGTAGCGCATATGTATTCAGTGTACCTTTGTACCAATGGTTGTGTTTAAATAAATAATAATTAATAAATATATATTCGAACACCCAGTCTGGATATTCAAGTCTGCAACTGGAACCACAACATTTTTCGAATGAGTTTTGTAGTAAAAATCACTTTATTGGCAATAAAACTCGTTCTTTACTGTATCAGAGCTGTAATTCTTCAAAGAGTGGGAATAAGTAGTGAAAATACATCTTTATTGTCGGTTAATTTTGACAGTGACTAAAAGTAAAGGACTGGTAATAGGGACCTGATCATTTGGTACCACTTTTGCCTTGAAGTCTCGTGAGATGATATTAAAACTAGGTTACGGTCTACAAAAATCAAGTTTAGAGAATTCTATTTAAGTTTGATATCGTTGGTAGTTATTTTTAAGGAAACTACTACAATTCAAAATAATTACGGACGTAAGCAATTATAGTTAGAGAAACAATGTATCATATAATCGTCTATATAAAATCGATGACTTACAAACTTAATACCGCTTGCATTGAAATGTAAAGCGCAGGTACACTAAAAGTTTCAAAGAATATTTCTGCCATTTTCTCTCTATTTCTTTTTGGATTATGTGGAGCTTCTGTCAATAAAACTGGATGTTCTTCACTATTGACCATCAATTGATCTTTGCCATATATATAAGCCCAAATACGTTCCATATCATTCCAGTCACGAATAATACCATGTTCAATAGGATATCGTATGCTTAATAAACCACGATGTTCCTCTGCTTTAGGACCAATAAAATCATCACCTTCAAGAGCACCTGCCATAACTCTAACATGTTTTGGACGGCCAATACTTTAAAGAGGGAAGGGGGGGACATTAGACGTAAACCAACCAATTAACTTACTAATTTGGAAATCGGTACTTTGGTACTTGATCACCTGCGAAACCTGCTTTCAATATACCTGTACCCTGAAAGTAAAGAAATAATAAAAGTTCAACGTGAACTTTTAGATAATATGAAACACATATAGGTGATGGTCAATTACTGAAATATGTGGTACTGATCGAAGAAGATAGATTAGATTTGTTACGAATTCTAATGCACATTAAATTGTTATTCAGAGTAATAGTCAATATATAGGTCTTCTATTTAACAGCTTCAATTAATAGAGCAATAATGTTCTTACTGGTAAAAGTTACAAAAAGTGGGTTTTAAGTTTGTTATTGATCAAATGTCGAGTGATTTTTGTGATGATGGAGGTCATTTATTCGATTTAATTGACATGGACAATACAGAGCTGTGTAAACTGTTGGCTTTTAATCCAAGGATAAGAATATAGTGCAGTTCAACACTGAGTTTTGTCGTACTGATGTAAGACAAGCATTCTGAGTTGAAAATGATGTTATTTGAATAAGAATGTTTTTGGATATTTTTTCTTACTTGGACAAGGTGTGATGAGTCAAATTACTACACAACTGAACACCACACATAAAAACGATGATACAAAAGAAATCCAAATATGTCAAGAAGAGCTGGAAAGTGAATAGGTATAAGCTAATTAATAATTCTCATTCCTTTGAAAGCCTTAATAAGTAACCTGCACGTTTCCTCACACAATCTTTAAATCGAAAGATTTCACTCCTTAGTGTTTCCTTCTGGTTCTTTTGCCCTTTTTTCCACCCAAGCGGGATGGTGGGTACGTGTCCAACGTGTGGTATACCACATAGTCACCTGCGAAACCCCAGTCACGGCAAAACCTCGCCGACTGGCACCGGACAAATTAGCTTTCTCTAAACGTGAGTTTGACAATTTACAAGCTACTGGTATTATTCGTCCTTCTCACAGTCGCTGGGCCTTACCATCTCATATGGTTCGTACGTTACACGAGCATGGCTGTGGGAACATCGGCAATGATGAACGCCCAAGGATACTGCCGTCGGTTGCCCAGGTTGACCGTAAGCTGTCGTGTACCATAGGTAGGAATGACTGAGTCATCCGCAGCGCGTAGTCGAAGCATCGTAGCTTCAGACTTACTGTTACCGATAGGTACGACAGAAACTTGGGCACATGTATCTACTAGGTACCTAGCGTTAGTGAGATAATCGTGCACACAAAATAAACGGCCAACCTGAGGCGAAGGGCAGGCGAGTACGGCCACATTTACTCGCCGGTTTGGGAGTTTCCCGCCTTGTATGAGCAGGGGTCTCGACAGCGGTGGGCACCGGACCCGAAGGCACGGCGGAACCAGCACCAACCCGTACTCATTTCTGAAGCCGTCTTTTTGGCGTGGCTTTGGAGATGCCCACTTAGGGCGAGTAGTTACGGCTTTATTTATTTATTATTTAACACATAGATATTGGTACAAGAAGGCACCAATATGTGTTAAAATAAATAAATAAAATAATAGGGCTGTGATACTACCTGGGTGCCCTCATACATATCGAACGAGATTTGTGTAGCGCATATGTACTTGGTGCCTTCTTGTACCAATATGTGTTAAAATAAATAAATAAAATAATAGGGCTGTGATACTACCTGGGTGCCCAAACCGAAGCAGGTGGTTTTCTTAGGGGGCCACTCCCCGAGCCTTCGACCTGAAGGTCTAATCCACAAGGCAGTAGAGCATCGTAAGGAGATGCAGTCCCATGGAAGTCGGCTTTACAGGAGCGTTACCTGACTCGGGGGATGCAAGGTTCTGGTATATTGGAGCTGTTTCGAAAATTGAGACGGGTATGAATACAGCTACCCCTATCACCCTGAGCCGAAAGGCGACTAGCGTCGAGATCTACGTTCGAGCGTGATGTTGAGGCAACTATATAGTCGTCTCGGGTGCTAGTCCTTGCCAGTATCTTATCTACTATAAGGGCCACCTGGTTAAGTGGTGTATCCTCAAGCAGAGCCGTAATGGTTGGTTGTATATGTACTGGAAGAGGTTCAAGCCATAATTATTTAACGATTTCGGAATCTGCTGTCGTAGGTCCTGTGAGAGATTGCAGGCGCGTGAGGTGATGGCTCGGTTTAGCGTCACCCAGGAGGTAACGTGCTAATAGTGTCCTCGAGCGTTCCTCCCTCGATGGGAGGAAATGTCTGAGGATCGCCTCCTTGAGACGATCATAAACGTTAGGTACATTCGGGTTGAGGACAATCTTACGAACAGCCCCCAAATGCCCTGGTATGGCCGAAAGTGGGGTAGGCCCGTCCTCCCTCTCGAAATGCTCTTACACGACCACGCGTACACAGCCTCTGCCAGGGAAGTCCTACTCACTGCCTTCTCGTGGCGAGGGTGTTGTTTAAGAAAAGGGAATGTCCGGCCCTTTAACCGGATCCCAAATCAAATCAATGGTGCACATGGGCTCCAGTGTCCTGGGGGAACAAATGACATATGAACCAATCGTTGGTCACCGGCTACCATGGGACTGCATCTCCTCACGATGCTCTACTGCCTTGTGGGTTAGACCTTTAGATCAAAGGCTCGGGGTGTGGCCCCCTAAGAAAACCACCTGTTTCGGTCTGAGCACCCGGGCAGTACCACAGCCCTCACACAAAGTGTGGCGCATATATATTTGGTGCCCTCTTGTACCAATATTCATGTATTCAAAAAAAAAAATACGAACAGCAGTGATGTGATCCCCGATTGACGTTTTCAGAGCGTAAGCATATTTCTGCCGTTGATTCGTTATGCGGCGGATCTCAAATTAAGACTCCAGAGCCGCGAACCAAACTTCTGGATCATGGGGAATAAAAGAGATAGGTCGGAAATTGATGACCTGTACCTTGGAGTCTATTATATTAATACCACTCTTATCGTTATCCACCATATCAAGTTGTTGCCCGGATTTTATATATTGAAAAATATCAATACGAAAATGTGCAACAAGAGTGGATAGATAGATAATAGACTCGCCGTGACAGTGTTCTTTGGGAGGTTTTCTAGCGGTTGAAATGTGTTCGCAGTTTTGGCTCACCAGATGTAGTAGGCGTCGAGTCGCGATTGACTGTGATCACCACTACAGGAAAACTCCATGACAGTTACTAGGTTAGATCCCTCCATAGGCCAAATATCAGAAAGTATTTGGATGTTGTAGTAGGATGTATTTGTTGGCGATCTCGTGGTATCGAAATAATACCGAGATCGCGCCAAAGTATACAAGTGGGATTACTGAGCGTAACCGAGTTCGTGAAACGCCAAAAACAACGGAAGAATGTGTGTTTTTAGTACACTTAAACAGGTACAGTAAAACAATTACTGGTACAATTGGTTATAATAATAATTGTTTCTATTATACTAATTACGTTCTTTTCATAAACGGAGGTCACTACAGGAGCCCCTTGCTAGAAAGGGATTTCTCTTTTGATACGTAGCGATTTTGTTCGTGGGACTGATCGGCAGATGTGCGACTGTAGGACGAAAGGGTTGGCAGAACAGGAAGCGATCGTTGATCGAGTTGCCACCGAAGGTCTTTTGGGTAGAACGGTACCACGAGAAACGTGTTGTATTTGTTGCTCCAGTTAGCGTACCACACCAGAGTGGTTTTTTGATCTAGGATTTGAGGATTGCATTCGTTTGAGAATAGAGCAAACCTACAATAACTTACCCTTTTACAACTATTTTCGTCAATATGCTGAACTATTTAGAATCTAGGTTGAACACCATCACATCTGCTTTATTCCGAGCAACGGGATATTATCCTTAGTTTTCACAAGAATTGTGGGAAAAAGTTTAAGAAAAGCTCTTATGACTGATTAATTAGTTCTAATAGTGTGATTTAAGAAAATAAAAGCTAATCGTATGGCTCCTACCTTAATTTGAATAAGTGAAAATATTTTTTCGAAGTGTTCTAAAAATTATAGAAAGAATGGAGTTTGTCAGTGAGTCCCTTAGTTTGACATATATAAAATGCTAAGACCACATTACTTCAGTCTCTTTAAAAACGACTCGGAGAATTTTCTTACCAAGAATAGTAAACGAAAACAGATTACACGTAAGGAATCAGGTGTTACAAATTAATTAAACCAAAAGGTGTAAGTATTCGTAAAGTCGCTTGTGAATTGTTTAAGCTTTTTAATCGGTCATTCGGTATTAAATTAAAGACTAAATAACTTGAGAATTATTCCTCTCTGGGGCAGAGACACAAATAACCCCTTAAATAACTTCACATAGTTTCTGTGTTATCGACACTTGTTGACTACCAAACGAGCTGGTCTTGATGGACAACGACTTAGTAATCAAAAATAAACTTCGTGGATATCTGAACATTATAAAATTACATATAATTCTCTACTATTCTGGGATTCGGTCTGAAAATTTTATCTCACTATGCTAATAAGGTACGGCAACTTGAGCCGATGTACATACATACCAAATTCTACGTTGTGACTGACTGACGATAATCCATTGCAATTATAATGGCATAATTTCCCCGGAATTTATTTCCCAACGAACTAAAGGGAACGAGTCTTTACTAAATTACAAAGTACACACCGTTGATACAACAATTAAGCGTTGTATATTTAAATTAACATTAAGTCATTTCTGTCCTATGAAGACGCAATAAACTTGCCCTCTTATCAGCTAAACGCACAATTTATAATGATGTCTTTGAAATTGATCATTAAAAGATTGGTATTTAGTGGTATATACTGAATCCTGATTTAATGCTTTTAGGTAACTATCTGAAACTAAATGTAAGTCATTGTTGGTTAGAAAACCATGGTCTTATTCAGAATGTCTCCTTAATTATGCTGACATAACCAGACTCGGAATTTCAACTTTTCAGTATCTAGTCACTAAGCAGAAGTTTGTGAAATAAAACGGTACAGGCCAGCTATTAGAATGAAAGTTATACTTTGAGGTCTAGAGATTTATAAGGAATCAAGCTTCTAAGTATAATTTCTGATTTATTACATGTATATTGATGGCATTACTCGCTAGGTTGGTAATCCATGTCTGGCTTGTTTTTACTTATGAAATGGAAGTGACAACTATTTATGTTGCACTGCTGTTTAGTCGCGATAGTAATTCTGACAGTCTGGATGTTAACAGGGACTTTTGTGAAGACATATACATGCTTACTACTTTTCACAAAGTATTAGTACGATAATAACTACAAAACGTGAAAGTTGTAGGTCCAATTTTGGAGGACTCATTGACCAGAAGCTCAAAACTGCTGCACACGAGACTCTTAACATAAAAGGCTTCTGAGGGTTGTGTTTTTGCTGTGATTCTGCCGTAAATTTGTATTACATGAAGCACAAACTGGAAATATGTTGCGGAGAATAGTAAGCTTAGAAACATGGTTATCTCTTCCAATCGTGAAAGTTTTGGGGAGGAATATAAACTGGCCTCATGCAACTTTGATTCTTGGATATTAATAATCGTCGTTATGGCTGCGTGTAGCTTACTCATTGATGTACTTTACATCAAACTAATCGCTAAGTTAGATGGTTGTTTCAAACATTATGGATCAGACTTTGCTGGTAAGGACTGTTGTTTATACACTGATAATTTGGCCAGGAAGAGTATATGCTTTTTTAACTTAAATGTAAATTCTACGTAGTAACGCTGAAATTAACTTCACCTTAACTACCAACCAGATATCCACTAGGTCAAAATTAGTTAATAAATAGCAGGGAAAGAGATGATCACAAAAACTGGTTTTACTCACTATATCTATAACTACAGGCTGGTTTGTTATAACATCATAGGAATCCATAACACAACAAGGTAGCGCACAAAACCCAAAGTTAGCACTGTAGTTATTCAATATACAAATGGTTCAAATTGGTTCAAAAGGTTGTGGACTGAATAGAAGAAGCTTTCGCTTAACAGACTTCCGTGTCTAGTAGCAGTCGACCACCAATACCTCCAGACAGGAACCTAGGTATATTAACGATAATAGAGGAAGAAGAAATAGGTAAATCATAGTATGATATTATCCTTTGTCCTCAAGAATAGGTAAGTTACCTCTTAAAAGACTCCTGGGAAGTCGCTTGGACTAGCTTAACCGGCAACGAATTCCAGCATTTAACAACTCTTAGAAGTTGAAGTTTTGTCTACAGCCCGTTCTGCTGTGTTGTGTCTCCAGTTTCTGGGTGTTAACTCTTAGGTTTGTGTTGGAGCTAAACTTAAGTAGGTGTTTAAGAGGATGTCCGGAAGTGTTGAGAATACCGTAATCCATTAGAAGGTCACCTCTAAGATGCCTGCACTCTAATGGGTAAAGGTTTAGTGATCGAGGAAGCTCTTCATAAGACTTGGATTTGAGTCTCCGGACTGATTTCGTGGCTCGTCCTAGTGTGAGGAAGGAAATACTGTTTCCGTACTGTAAATGGGGTCGAATAAAACTGTTTAAGATTATGTGGAAAGTTCTTCCGTCAAACTAACCAAAAATGCGCTTCAATGTTACCAGTGCAAAGTTTGCTCGAAAGACGTTTTTGTCACTGCGTAAGACTTCAAGTCGTAGAGTACCAGTACTCCTAAATGTTTTTCAACCTGGGATACTTTTAGAGAGGAGTTTGCCAAGTTGCAACTGTAGTCTGCAACATGTCTCAGATAGACTACTTTACACTTTGAACTGTTAAAGGTATGTCCGTTGTCATCTGCTCAACTTTGAAGTGGAGTCAGATCCTCCTCAAGTGCCAGTATATCCTCTTGGTTGAGTATCTCTCTCCAAATTTTCACGTCATCAGTAAAAAGTAATAAGTCAGACGATAGCTGTTGTTGAAGATCGTTTGTACAAATCAAGAAAAGAAGAGGTTCTAGTACTGAACCCTGGGGGACCCCACTAGGACATTCCATATCTCGAGAGAAAATGAAGTTAACCCTGACCTTAAAATGTCGATTTTTTAGGGATGAAGTGAGCCAGTCAATTAGAGGTGGTTTAATACCAAATCGTCTGAGCTCATTGGTACGACATATATGGTTGACCCTATCAAAAGCTTTTGAGAAGTCGAGGTAAATGGCATCAACTTTCCTCTTGCAATCAAGGATGGTTGACCATCTATTCACCACAGTCAGCAGGTTGGTTGTACAAGAATGACCCTTCCTGAAACCGTGCTGTTGGGGTGAAAAGAAGTTTGAGGATAAAAAACAATCATGTATATCATCGCATATCAGGGACCCGATTATTTCTGAAGGTATAGAGAGAAGGGTCACCGGCGGTAGTCGTAGTCAATATTTTTTTACGTAAATGGTATAATTAGTAGATTTGCTGATCAGTCTTAAGTCCCTCACTTATCATCTATGTAGAGACCAGGTTTTATCTAGGAAGATTCATTGATCAGACGAACGCTACTTGCTCGGGAGGCACATTCCAATATCTAATGTGATGAGCTGATAAAAACTGACTAAATTCCCTCAACCCGCTTCTTGTTATTGCAGTGCGGTTCTAGGTCTCTGCGTCTACCGCTTAATGAGGAAAACAGTATTACTAAGTGAATCAATTCGATGGTGGTCCTTGCATCCTTTTATTTAGGAGACCATAGGTCTGTAGCGGTAAATTGGTCCCCAAAATAAATATTCCTGTAAGTCTTTGGAATCAATGCTGACCTTACTAGTATTACTGGACATACCTAGATGAAAACGCTCGGTCACACATCCACACCAGGTCTCGAGTGTGTATTGCATGCGGCGTATCTCTTGCAACTGTTATCCAGCTTAGGCCAAACGGTTCACGACATGAGGATAGCATTCCAAATATGTCTTCGAACCCCGTCATTCCTAATTTTTGGTTTTACTGGGTTGGTATCTTTTTATTATACAGGCGTAAAGTGTAGTGTCATTCTAGCCCAACAATGTAGAAGCCCAGTTTTGATATTTAGAAGCTGACTTCCACGAGCACGGCATGGCAGACACACGTGTACAGTTTGCAGTAGTGAAAGCACTGTCGCGTGATCTTAGCAGGCACGTCACACCTAGTATGTTTACTAGTGAGTTTTCGAGAACTTACGACACGTTGAAGATGGCTATCCTCAAGGGTGGAGACCTAACCGACAGACCAAGGTTGAACCAACTGTTTCACAATACTCTCACTTCTGACTTGATTTGACTGGACTGGTATATCTTGATTATATGAGTGTAAAGTATAAAGGATTTGTCAAACTCCGAATTGTCGTGCAATCTTTAGGTCTTAGAGGAACAAACACATTATGCTATTGAAATATGGAATGCCAGTATAACCGTAAATAACTTACTAAATACATGGCTATGTAAATATTCAACACTGATACTGACCTTGCCAACTGCTGGGGAAGCTACTGGATGAATTCGCTTGTGTATGAGTCGTGAGCATATTATGAGACAGCCTACGTTAAAGTATCAAATCTTCATTTAAATATAGCTCTAAAATTGCTGAACTTAGCGAAAACAATTTCAATTCGACCCCTAGATTTCACGATCAGCGGTATATCGGAAATATTTCTATCCCTATCAAGGAAATTCAATCCATCCTACAAACATTTCCAAGGTTTAAGAGCTTTTAATGTCTGTAGCACTAGTAACTTGTGTAAACCCTCAACGCCTACGTGATTTATTTGAACTTTTAAACGAAAAAACCATACCAATCTCCAAGGTATTCTGCACACACATAAATGCGAATGTTATTTATACTTAGGTGCCCATAAATATACGTGATTTCTGCTTCTATCAGCTCATTGGTCATGTATCTTATCACCTATGTTCAGTATATCTATACGAAATAAAAGCTATTTCATACCTATTTACTTGCGCCTGTTAACCCTTGTGGAGAAGCATAGGTTGCCCACCAACATTCTCCATTCAACTCTGTCCTAGACAATCCTTTACAGTTGCTATTCATCCTTTTCATTTCTGCTTCCAATTCTCGATGAGGTGTGTTCTTTGACCTTTCATTTTCCCATTTCCCTTCAGGATTCTAAGTTAGTATTAGTACATCTATCTTTGTTATTACAATAATAGACCTGATCCTAAAATTCCAGATTTGTCATTATGTGATTACCTAATCCACAAGAACTTACGTGGACTTTTTTTCATTATCTATACTGACTTGTCTTACATAATCATCAGCAATATTATGTTTAGCGCCTCCGAACAACACAATGGGGTTGGAGATTGGATAGTGTATTTGGTATGAACGAGGATAAATCACGCAGAATGACCACGTCTGCAAGGCTGAGTCATGCCATACTGGTCAATTAGTACCGCTTTCATCACTACTGATATTTTCTCTGCGTTAAATGTTAAACGTGAATTTTCTCAGTTATTTTATGTTCGACTTCGAGGATTGTTTGGTTAAGACCAATACTACTACTACGTCTTCACAAACATCGAACAAGAATGCCTTCATTTCCTCTGAGCTGGTTATCCATTTCTTCAACTTGAAACCTCTTAATAATAATTCATTTATCTACACAACAAACTTCCTAACCTATTCATGGGAGGAAGAGGATATCAAGCAATCACTTATATAGAGACTATTTTTGATAGCATATGCGACGAAAACGTCTTAACCAGCAGAGAATTTTCGGGCTGTCTCCATAGCAAAGTCCGCACAAAATGGCGACATGTGACCCCGATTGGATGGAGGGTCATGTGAACTTCGATTGGCTTGCCTGATATATCAGCTATCGTCCATTATAGAAAACTCAAGGCCTCACGATCAAACTCAGGCACTTTCAGTTGAGCAAACATTTACTCAACATTTGCAGAGGTTGCAAATTATTCCTTGCGTAAACGTAACGAAATACACACTAACCCGGCAATGGTGTCTGGCCTTTGATAAATCACATAATTCGGAGCAATTCATGAGAACTTAGCGGCACAAAGAAAAACTACTCTCAATTTTCCGCGGCCATTTTGGACCTTTCACTTCATTATACGGTAAATACCAACGGAAGGTTTACTTTATATGGCATGTGGTTGGAATCAGTAACACGATACAAGAATACCGGCGAAATTGGTACTTCAGATTCCAGAAGTAACTGCAATCGTTAGAGCCAAATGACTTCGCACAATGACTGTAACTGAAATAACACACTGAAAATCCCTTCGAAGCATTTTTTGGTGGTATTGATATTTATTTGTTCTTTTTCTCTACCTTGTATTCTAACCCTGATTTAGGTCCCTTTTAAGCGCACATTTTTCCCAAACTTTCCTGTCTGCGCCTTATCACTTGACGTTGGCTGGAGATTTATCTCATTACTTAGTTTTACTGTTGCATGTCACCGAGCCACTGACAATAGATCGCGTAGTTCAGTGCATGATCGTTAACGTTTGACTGTCTGCATGCAGGGTTGCTGGAATCCTTGTTAGAAATATTTTTTCGACTCTCAGATATCAAACTCCTGTTTATTGACTATTTCTTTCGTACGTTACTTTGACTCAGTAGACACTTCCAGTAAACGACCAAAAGGCGGCCGTAAGCAACTACTCGACGTCATCACCTTAATTCAGTTAGTCAAGAGCTTATTATCAAAGATTTGGCACCACATAATAACCAGATGAAACACTCAAAACAATTCTTAACCTGAATCAAGTAAAGAAAATCTATCTAATCAAGGTTGACAGATAAGAATATATAATTTTCCAAGTTCCGGACATATGTTAATGAATGCAAGAAAGGCAGGAAAATCCATGAAAGAATAGCACTACTGAGACGCGATAAGTATCCGAACAAGACAAGATAATTTAATGACTAATAACTGAGAATCCACAAAATGGCACAGTTTAAGGCAGGTAAAACTGAATGAGCACAACTGGACATATTATATTTGAAATTCGTAATAAGCTCTCGTTCAAGTACAAAGGAATCAT